CATTGCCACCATAGTACTCACCATTTTATACTGTGATATGTTCTATCTCCACATGTCTCCACTGGACTGTGCACTTGTGAAAGGCACAAATACTTTTTATTCTGCCTTGTAGCCTTTATGAGTAGCAATAGACCATGAGAGATGCTCAAGAAACATCTACTGAAGCAACAGAAAGACAGAAAGCCAGTCAGCTAACAGCAATTTGACTATAATATAAGCCAGTCAAGAATGTAGACACTTGGAACTAGAAAGGGCCTTGATGGTCATCTAACCCAGTTACTCAGTAACCACTGAATCTCCTGGGCATGTGATGACCCTGCCTTATTCCATCCTGGAGCAACTCTGACTGTAAGAAGTGTACTGCTGGAGGGGAACTCAGAGACTACCATATTCAAAAAATAAAGAAGTGAAGTGATTGGCTCAAGATTACTCAACAATTAGCAGCAAGGTTGGAAAATAGAAGAGAAACTAATATGACTAACCGCCAAGCCCATCCAGTCCTCACCACCATCCTACAGAGTGGAGGTATTACCATGTTGAAATTTACAGCAAAGGATGTGAAGGCTAAGAGGTATTGAGTGGCTTGTTTGGGGTTGCACAGTTGATAAGTTGCAGAGCCAGGATATAAGGAAATTGATCTTCCACTTGCCGACACCCTGTGCCATCCCTGCATAAGATCGCAGGCTTCCTGAGACCCTGGAAAATGCTCCTCTCATTTCCTAAGCAGACCCTGCTCCAGGAGCTCTTTTGAAATCCCTCCCTCTTTCTCACTTCCATTTTCCTTGCTTTTCAGGAGAGAAGTATGAGCTCCATGCAGGGACTGAGTCCACCCCAAGTGTCGTCGTCCACGTGTGCGACAGTGACATAGAGGAAGAAGAGGACCCAAAGACTTCCCCAAAGCCAAAAATCATCCAAACTCGGCGTCCTGGCCTGCCGCCCTCCGTGTCCAACTGAGCTGCCTGCTCCGCCTCGACGATAATAGCCGTCTCCTCTTTATCATGCTTTTTCCCCCGTTGTTTGTCAAAAAAAAATTGCCTTTAAATTCCTGGGTGTTTGGTTGTTTGAGATTCCTTCCTTGTTATCAAGCCTCTCGGACAAAAGGGCTAGGAAAAGGTGATATGTCTCCTGATCATATCATACCCATTAAGTAAAACCCATTATTTAGAAGGTTCTAGGGAAAAAAGTAGTATTTTCTTATTAAACAATCAGCACAGCCTATATCTTTGTTCTCTCATGTTGATCCAAGCCAGAGACATCAGTAACAAATAGCACCTGTGTTGTTTGTGAGCTGTTTCAGTCCCAGTCCTGACGTGTGTGCATTGTTCTTTCCTGGCCACTTAAATAGGACCATATGTAAACTTGACTTTGACTGCATGAGATATCCCTGTCTGGTCTCACTCAGTCCTCTGCATCCCGACATTCCCAGGACATGCATGATCACCAGCATTTATTTTCATGATTTGAGGATATCCTATAACTCACAGATTGTCAGCATCCAGCCATGTCCTATCTAGATTAGGAAAATGATCAGCATATTCCAGCTCAACAAGTCTGGGTATATTCACTATTGTGAGTCGATACACCATAGCTCTGTTGAAATTCCTGGAGGCAAAATTGAGCTTGGCCCCAAAGATATTCCTCAATAGATTTCAAACACCACTCCCCTGTAGAACTTTCCCAGCCTCGTTTGGGGAGGCTTGTCCAGGGTGATAGAGATCGATTTCAGACAAACCTATTTATTACAAAAGTTTCATGGTGTCTGAATGATTGTTTTCTCTCTTTGTATATTTGTACAAATGTTTCAGCTGTGCTTTTAAAATCTGGATGTTTTTTATTTAGTGATTGTTCAACCATTAGCTGCTTCAAAACATAATGTGCATTGCTTATGAATGCCTTCATATACTAATACAGATACTCTGATAATATTACGCTCTAGTAAGGATCATGCTGAATTTTGAAAGGACACAAAACATCTAATGCCAATATATACATGATTAGCTAACATCTTTGCTATCAAGACCACTTGTTTTTAAATAAAGATGCAAGTGTCCGTTGTAGATTATTGGGATGAAGCTAAATCTCCAGAATGCAGCAGCAGCTGAGCATGTTAAAATGGGGAAGGATGATAGATACATGTATGCTGGTCCTACTCACGCAATGCCCGTGTGCTCAAAAAAGTTATTTGTTTTTGTTACGTGTGATTTTTCTATTTCTCTAGCCCAAAGTGCATTACAGAAGATACACCTATAGAACCATTACCTTCTGCTATATGTGCCAGGCCTCATCTACTCCTGTACATTAATGAATTACTTTAGATGCAAATGCAGATTACAATGGAGTGGGGGAAGTACTTTCATTACCCAAGCCTCAGAAAAACAAGAACAACAACACAGCAAACAGCTTGAGGGATTGTTGTGGTTTTTGACTAAGGTGTATGTTAGTTTCATCAGAAACTTAAAACATAGACTGATCACTCAGAAATTAAAGTCCGTTTTACTGTGAATATAGCAATATAGTACTGGACACAGTACAGATGAAACTGAGGAAAGCATTGCTTGTAAAATCCTGAGTTTCCATAAGGAAAATGAAAACTCCTTTTAAAAATAAAATCTGAGGAGTGTACAGTAAGCATATGCTTTGACTTTCCTTTGCTGTGGAGGTTTTTGGTTTTTCATTGATGATTAATGACTACAGACTTAGTAGTGGAGAAATGGTGTCCTCTAGTGGAAGAAATAGTAGACTCAGCTATTCAGATGCAGAGCACTGCAGCAGCCAGCCTTTCGGAGCTGACTCTTCTTAGTCATCTGTGGGGTCATTTGACTTTTTAAGCTACCCTGAATTTTCAGAATGCAGGTTCTAAAGAAATCTAGGTGAGAGAAAATGTTTGAAAATGATTTTTAAATGTTTTTTAAAAGACACATCCGACATTTTTAACCACTTAGTAAAAGTTGAAATGACCATTCTGTGTAGTCATAAAAGAAACATAATGAAGTATATGGCCTCTGGAGTTAGTCTTAGTAAAACTTGCTGCTCTGTGTCAGTGTTAACCTGTCGCAGATCAAGTAATTCTTTCACTAGGTTGGGTTTGGGGAGGGGGAAAAGAGGGGCTTTTCCTAGGAGAACGGTACGAAATGGAAAGACTCCTTGAAGTGTTGCAAGGGAACCTCCTAGCACTGTGAAAGCCAGAATCGCCTCAGCATTTCCATGACACACATTATGCAAACCTCTTTAGCACTATTTTAAGTTTGAAAAGTTTAACAATGAAGGGGGAGGGGAAGATTTCCACCAACTGAATCATTTGTGCACGTGTATAGCTCAAAGAGCTTAGACTTCAAATATATCTGGTGAATGACTCTTTGTCCACGTGGTGTAATTTCTGTGTTGTCGACCTGAGTTGGGTTTTCTTGAGGGGTAATTGTGGAGGAGTGCATTTCAACCTAGAGTTTTTCTAAGACGTCCCCAACGTATGGGGTTAACCCATATACCTAGGTTCTTCCTGAAAGTGGGGGAAGCTGAGTGGCAGCCATCTCTTGGGGGAAGGGGGCCTTGAGCAGGGTCTGGAGGGCTGTGTTGGCCTCTGATAAAGGAACTGGGAGAGGTCCCTGTTTTATTGCCCTGTTTCAACATCTTGGTGCTAAAAGCCATTTCAACTGTATAAGAACCTCTTTTAATGTCTTCCCACTCTATTCTCTTGCTAAAAACACTGTAAGAGACCTAAGTTGGCAAAAAATTATTATTCAGGGAAAAAGCACTATAATAATCTAAATGATTAATACATTAGATTTCATTAAAATGAAGAGCTTCTGTTCATCAGATGGGTATTAGGAGAATGAAGAGGGACAGCATGAGACTGGAAAAGGATATTTGAGACACATGTAGTTGTCAAATAAATTATATCCAAAATGTATTTTTAAAAAACTACAAATGGCACATGCCTGTAATCCCAGCACTTTGGGAGGCCGAGGCAGGTGGATCACAAGGTCAGGAGATCGAGACTATCCTGGCTAACACGGTGAAACCCCGTCTCTACTAAAAATGCAAAAAATTAGCCGGGCGTGGTGGCGGGCGCCTGTAGTCCCAGCTACTTGGGAGGCTGAGGCAGGAGAATGGCGTGAACCTGGGAGGCGGAGCTTGCAGTGAGCCGAGATCACGCCACTGCACTCCAGCCTGGGCGACAGAGTAAGATTCCGTCTCAAAAAAAAAAAAACCTACAAATAAGGAAAACATAGACAATCCATTTCTTGAATCATCAAAATAATTTCAAAGGCACTTCACACATACAGGCAATTCACATACAAACAGACATACACAAAATACCCAGATGACCCATTAACATTCAAAAGATGCTCAACTTCATTGCTTATCAGACAAAAGCAAAAGATAATCTCGGAGATACTACACAGAGCTATCAGAATGACTAAAATTAAGTCTGGGAAATAAAAAGTTCTGGTAAGGATATGAAGGAATGGGAACTGTCATGCGCCACTGGTGGAGTGTCGACTGGTACTGCCACTTCACTGCACTATTTGGTAGTATCTGCTAAAGCTAACAGGCCTCTCTGGGAGCAGTTCCACTCCAAGGCATGCACCTAGCAGATATGAGTGCTCACATCTATCAAAATACTTGTACAATAATGTCCCCAGCAAAGTTGTTCGTCATAGCCATTAACTGGATACAACCCCAAAGTCCTTCAACTATAGAATAAGCTGTGCTATCCTCACACAAAGGAATGTTACAAAGCAATAAGACACATAAACCAGTGGTACACAGGAACATGATGGATCTCAAAATCGTATTTTGAGCAAAAAAGAAAAACTAGACATGAAAGAATACATAATGTATGACTCCTTTTAGCAAGCTGAGAAAGTCAAAACTGGCCTATATAAATAGAAATAATAGTGGCTGTTATGAAAACAACTTAGGACTGTAAGGTCCCCCACCCCAACCCCCAAACTAAGAAAGCACTAAGAGTTCAAAGAATGACTCAGACAAGTCCAGCGTGAGGAGTAGATGAGTTTATTGGGACTTACATACAGGGCACTCCAGGATGGCGGCAGGATAGCTCTAGAGATCCGCCCTGCCTCCCATCCATAAACTGCTTTTAAGCTAATTTTCTAGCTCTTTGCCTACATGTTTGAAAAATGCAACTGTTTTTCTTGGTAGGTCCTCAGATACTCTCCGGGATGTTTAGGTTCTCAGGGACACCTGCTCCTTAGCTCGGCACCAGGGTCTTGGCTCACTGCCTGGCCCTCAGAGTTCAGGCAACAGACTTACACCCTTTGGGAACCTGGTGGGGGAGCTGTCACAGTACAGTGGCTACCTCTGAGATGGTACTGCCTGGGAGGAACCCTCTCATGTGGAAGCCTTCCGAGGTGCCATAAATATTCTACATCTCGATCCTGATCTCCATATGGATGTATACACATGTAAAATTCAGTTAAAATGTGTGCCATATACCACAGTAAGTTATACCTCAACTAAAACAAAAGCTGTTCTCCCTGAGAATGGATAAGAAGGAACCTTTAGTTGTGACGGGGGTTTAGAATGTCCTCATACTAGAAACATAAGTCTCCCATCTCATGTCTGTGAGATATTTCCATATATTCAAAGCCTTCATTTACAAATGTGTAAATAAGTGTTCCTTTTTAAATGAGAGAGCACAGGACTTAGGCTCTGGGTGAAACACTGTTCATTCAAATAACAAATAAACTGTGTGCCTGACACTGGGTTTTCAGTGGTGAACAAGGTAGCTTTTGTCCCTGCCATTTCAGGGAGAGGAGTCTAGCATGGAAAAGAGATAAGAAATGAGCAAATAATGGCCACAAATTCTCATAGGAGAATACAGTGAAGGAAGCCAAAAGTATACTATGAGGATCGAGAATAAAAGTGGAGGATCACAGTCGGGGAAGGCCTCTCTAAAGAGGGAACATTTAAGCCGACCTGGAGGCTGGCCATGGAAATGCTGCGAGAAAAGCATTCCAGGCAGCAGGGCTGAAGGCTGCGACTCTGGAAAGGCTTTGTCTTATCGTGTTGGAGGAGCCTGAGGGATTTTGTTGGTATGGCTGAGGTACAGGGAGTGAGGGTGAGCACAGTTTAGGATGAGGTTGGAAGGCAGGTGGCCGGGGGGCAGGCTCAGTAGAACCTATTATTAATAGGCCAGGCTAGGCGGTTTGAGGTTCATTTTAAGGGTTTCAAAAAGGGAATTATATGACCCAATTCATCTGGTAAATCCTAACACAAACAAGAAGTTTCCTAACACAAAGCTACAGCCCAAAATGTCCAGATACTCTGTAGCGTTGGGGCTTGACTGATCTTGTCCACTTTAGGCTTGAAGATAGCTTTCGATAGCTTTCATGCTCCTCACTGCAATCTTATCTATTAATACCAGATGAATTCTCAATATCCAACATCAATATGCAGTGTCTTGTTGTGGTTCTGAAGTTTTTTTTTTTTTCTTCCCCTGCCCACGTCATTTACAAAGCCTCAGTGCAGAAGAGGGGGAACAGAGCAGGTGATAAAGGAAGATAAGTCAGTGATTCAGGGAAACATTCATTTAGCTGCTGGTACAGCGTGTCCCTGCCAGAAGCCACCATGCTGAGCGTCATTGAACATTTGGCAGGCTTTCCCCTTAAATTTATGCAATCTGAGAAAGGGAAAATTTCAAGCAAAAAGTTTTCTGTCAAGCTCATTCATCTGCACCTTTCAAAGAAAGTCTGGGGAAATGTTATTGGAGTTGATTCAGGAGCTTTTTATGTCTCTAAAAGGAAGCCATATTTAAGGTTAGTCATGTGTATGTGTACGCAAGCACATTTGGTATAGGTTGGAAATAGGAAATCCAAAATAGGCGGAAATGGATGAAACACTGTGCTAAAGAATTCATTCACAATACCTCCTTGATTCTTTTCTGTTATTTTCCATTCTCAACCAATAATTGAGTTAGAAAACTTTTAGGGTTGGACAGGACTATGGGGCCTTCTTGACTAGTTGCCATCATTAGGAAAATCATTACTGTTCCCCAAACAGTCTTTGGATTTGCCAGTAGGGTATTTTATTCTTAAAACAAGATTTATAGTTTCCCTACAAAGCTGCCAAGTTCAACACCTTGATAGTCCATCTGATGTGCTGTGGTGGATGCTGTAGTCCTAGCTCCCCATTTCAGAGTGGAAACACTCATACCCCCCAATGCTGGGAGGGTTGGAGGGTTATGACTCGCTGCTGAGTGGCCAGGCATTGCTCTCAGCTGGAGGATGCTCCCCGCCAAGGTCTCACCCTCCTCAGGGACAGCCTGCATCCAGTGACTAGTCAAGGAAGGCCTTCCCTTGGGCCATTCCAGCTCCAGAGATATCCCCGTGGGATAGGCTGAGGCCCGGTATTTCAGTTCAACTCTGCCTTTATCCCTAACAGGTGAGGACTCTAAAGTCACCCCAGTAAACCTCCTGCATGTACATCTCCCTCTCAGAGTCTAAGTCCTGAAGAAACTAACCTAACACTTACATCATCCTCAACTTTTGAGTGCCCTTCTTCCATCACTTTTGAGTGCCCTGGAATTGTACAACTCTTTCCCGTCACTGCTGTTTCACTGCTGAATCACTGCTGTTTCATTCTTAAGATGGATTGGTTGTGCTAGGGGTTAGCAGATTTTCCAAAAGCAGCACAGCAAAGTTCTTCATGCTTTCTTTGTGTTGTCCTGCTGAATTCAGGTGGGGGGTAGGTAGCATAGACATGCAAGTGACTTGGTACAAAGTTCCTCAGTGAAGAAAGGAGGGCTTCTCTCAACCATCCCGGTGGAGTGAGGAGGACAATGGATGCCTGTTCAGCTCTTGTCAGGGGCCTTCATGAAAAACACGGGTCTGTAACAGGGAGGGTAGAACCCGAATTCTGGCCCATGTGCCACCCTCAGCTCACCTCAAAAGATGTCACCACCTCCCTATCAACCTTGTATATGAGAAAGGGATGAGGATTGTGTATGTGACTTTAGACAAGTTACTAAAGTCCCTACAACTCAGTTTCCTCTCCTGTGAAATGGGCATGAAAATCTACCTTTGTCATGAGGACTTAATAAGATAATAACAGTAACAATTATTATTGGAGGGCTGGTTAATGACTACATTCACAAGTTTTACTGCCACGGGACCTAGGTTTAAACCCCAGCTCTGCTGCTTGGTAAACTTATGATCTTGGACAAGTTTTTTTAACTTAAGTTTTGGTTTGCACATCTATTAAATGTAAAGGATGATAGTATCTGTCTCATAGAGTTAGTAGGGATTGAATGAGAAACAGCATCACGTGCTGTGTACATAGGAAGTCCTCATCCAAAGCTCTTTATGCATCAGGCCCCACATGGAGCACCTGGCATTCGTACCCTCGGTCTTCATGATGGCACCTTCATTGTTACCACTCTTCAGAAATAATAGCATTTATAGAGTGCTTATACTGTGTCAAGAGCCCTTGTAAGTTCTTTACATTCTTCTTTTTTTTATTTTTATTTTTTTGAGGCGGAGTTTCACTCTCGTTGCCCAGGCTGGAATGCAATGACACGATCTCAGCTCACCACAACCTCTGCATCCCGGGTTAAAGCAATTCTTCTGCCTCAGCCTCCCCAAGTATCTAGGATTACAGGCATGCACCACCACACCCAGCTAATTTTATATTTTTAGTAGAGACGGGGTTTCACCATGTTGGTCAGGCTGGTCGTGAACTCCCAACTTCAGGTGATCCGCCTGCCTTGGCCTCCCAAAGTGCTGGGATTACAGGCTTGAGCCACTGCACCTGGCCAAGTTCTTTACATTCTTATTTAATTCTCTCTATGATGTTATGATGAAGGCACTGATATCCACATTTTACATGTGAGGCAACTAAAGCCCAGAAAAGTTAAGTCTTTGGTACTCAAAGCATGTTCTATGCACTGCAGCATCTGCATCTGCATCCCCTGGGAGCTGGTTAGAGATGCAGAGTCTCAAGCGCCCCCCGACCTACTGAAACAGAATCTGCCCTTTAACAAGATCCTCCCTTCATTCCCAGCACTTTAAAGTTTAAGAAGCACTCAAGATCAAGGGCCTGATATATCCCTAGCAGGGCTATGATTGCAGAGCACATACTTTTAACTGCCTCTGTGTATGAAATGCCCATCAAAAAAAGAAGTGCTCAAAGCATATAATTTTCCTCCCCCCAGCAATTCATTTGACTGAGATTCCTCCTCTGTTCCTGTCCACAGTCCATTCTTACCCACTGTGCTGGCCTTGCTGTTTTTGATAGAATCTCCAGGTATTGCTGATATGCTCCAGGTTTTGATAAAGTTCTACCCAGGGTCATTCCAAAGATCTCTATTAAAAGTGCTTCTGAATAAGCTACAATGTGATTTCCAGAAAGGCAATTATCCCAGGAGCACACCAATGTTCTGAGAAGCAGCCACTCCTAGCATTACTGGGAGTAACAGGATGGTCTCAGACAGGCATGAGAGCCAGAAGCTACCATGTGGATAATCTTTCCCTGAGAATGAAGGCAATCAGGAGAAAAGAAGAGCTGAAATGTTGAAAGAGAAGAAGAAGGATGGGAAGTGAGTTTAATGTTGTTATTTGAGCACCTGGATCAAACCACACCTGATGCTCATATCCCCTGGACTTTCCAGATGCATGCAGCAACAGATTTTCCTCTTTCTCAAACAAGCTTAAGTTGGGTTTCTTCACTCTCCACTGAGTGGCTGCCTGAAAAAGAAAATGTAATAGACATGTATGTAAAGTCCTATATTTAATTTTTTTTGAGACAGGGCCTCACTCTGTCACCCAGGCTGGAGTTCAGTGGTGTGATCACAGCTCACTGAAGCCTCAACCTCCTAGGTTCAAGGGATTCTCCCACCTCAGCCCCTCCAGGTAGTTGGTACTACAGGTGTATACCACCACACCTGGCTAATTTTCTGTATTTTATTTGTAAAGATGGGGTCTCACTATGTTGCCCAGGCTAGACAACTCCTGGGCTCAAGTGATCCTCCTGCCTCAGCCTCTGAAAGTGCTGGGATTACAAGCATGAGCCACCACGCCCGGTCACTATTTGTTTCAAAAATGCAAATGCACAGGGAGAAAGAGAATAGTTTGGAGAAGAGATAATATAATAGAAGTTTGAGAGCCTTAATCAGCAACTCAATATGTGTAAATACAGGGGAAGGGCAAAATCTGCTGTCTATGAGTTTCTGTTTAAAATGGTAGAGGAAGCACATACATTTATTGCCCATCCAATCCCCAGAAATCTCTTGGAAATAACACAGAAAGTCATCAAAGGAAATATATATAATAGCCCTGGAACCCAATAAAGGTTATCAACAGCTGTCTAGAAAATCCAAGTCACTTCTGGAATGCAGAAAGAAGATTAACAGAGAAACTAGAACTGATACGGCCTCAACAGAAAACATGGATAGATGAAGGCTACAGCAGATGTGGGAGCCATTCTTTCCAGCCGCGTCTAAGAGGCAATTCAAGCTTAGAGTCAAAAAATATAAAAAGAAGTGGGCAGAAAGTTAAAGATATGCATTAGAAAGAGTTGGAGCTAATTGAGCCCATCATCATCATTATTGCTGGCCACATTTGCAGAATTGCCCCAAGGCCAAATTCCCAGGACTTGCCTTACCTGGTAAGGACTCCTAATGGGGTTTAGGGAGCCCATCAGAGCCTCCATAATCATACCTGACTTCCACTGAAAATATGAATGAGAAAAAAAGTTTACTTCCTAGTTATGACAGAGCATATTTTCCAATATCTTCACTGGATAAGTGGAGCATGGAAGGTAAGTTTTACAAGATCTTACATGTCTGAAAATGTCTTTATTGCACCTTCACACTTGCATGATAGTTTGGTTTGTGGAAATTGATTCAGGGTTTTGATGGCATCACTCCATTGCTTACTAGAAGCTTCTAGAAGCCTCATGTCATTCTAAATTCTGACTCTTTTATGTAAACTATATTTTCTCCTGGAAACTTTTAGGGATGCTTTGTCTCAACTGCTCTGAGCTTCATGTATTTGATTCCTTATAAGTCCTTTCAATCTAGAAATTCATATCCTTCCACTGTGGACATTTTTTCTTGAAGAGAGTATACTAGTTCATTCTCGTGCTGCTAACAAAGACATACCCAACTGGGTACTTTATAAAGGAAAGAGGTTTAATGGACTCACAGTTCAGCATGGCTGGGGAGGCCTCACAATCACGGTGAAAGGCAAAGGAGAAGCATAGGCATGTCTCACATAGCGTAAGGCAAAAGAGAACTTGTGCAGGGGAACTCCCGTTTATAAAACCATCAGATCTTTTGAGACTTATTCATTACCATGAGATCAGTATGAGAGAAACCAGCCCCATGATTCAACTATCTCCACCTCACCCTGCCCTTCACATGTGCTGTTTATTATGACTCAAAATGATATTTAGGTGGAGACACAGGAAACCATACCAAACAGCTTATTTGAAACTTTCCTCCCCTATATCTATCTCACTGTTTCCTCCTAGTATTTGAAGGATATCTACTAGTTGGACCTTAAGTCTTCCAAAATTATGCTCAAATTCCTGTTTTCTTTCTCTGCAATTTTCTCTCTTTGACTTTTTGGCTGTATTTTTCTGGGAAATTTCTGCAACATTATCTTTCAACGCTTTTATTTATTTATTTTTCTTTCCATTGACATGTATTTAATTTCTGAGAGGATTTTTTATTCCTGAATGTTTCTTTTCGATTACCTCCTGTTTTTTCTTTCTTTCTTTCTTTCTTTTTTTGAGACAGGGTCTCACTCTGTCACCCAGCCTGGAGTCCAGTGGCATGATCATGGTTTACTGCAACCTCAACCTTCCCAGGCTCAGGTTATCCTTCTGTCTCAGCCTCCCAAGTACCTGCGACTACAAGTATATGCCAACATCCCTGGCTAATTTTTGTATTTTTTGCAGAGATGGGGTTTCTCCATGTTGTTCAGGCTGGTCTTGAACTCCTATGTTCAAGTGATCTTCCTGTCTTGGCCTCCCAGAATGCTGGGATTACAGGCATGAGCCACCGTGCCCGGCACCACCTGCTCTTGTTTTATGAATACAATATCTTCTTTTATCACTCTGAAGATAGTATTTTTGTTCATTTCGTTCTTATTTCCTTCACAGCCTTTTTTTTCTATTTCCTTTTTTCTTTATTTTTTTTCTTCCTTTCTCATTCTTTCTTTCTCTTTCAGCTCTATCTCTATCTCTATCTCTCTCTTCCTGTTTGAACAATGGTTCTTAATAGGAAGAGATTTTAGTCCCGAGGGCAATGTCTGGAGATGTATTTGGTTGTCTGTCACAACTGGGAATTTGCACTACTGGGATCCAGTAGGTAGAGGCCAGGGATGCTGCTAAATATCTTACAATGCACAGCACAACAAGGATTATCCAGACCCAAATATCAGTAGTGTTGAGATAAGAAAAACCTTGTTTAGAGGCTTTTCTCAAAAGTCTTATTGTCCTTGATTCCTCACTTATATTTTAGGAGAAACACTGAAAAGTGTGATTGGATGGATTGTGTGATTATGAGTGGAATTTGCTGGCTGTGAATTTCATGGTGGGTTGATCTGGATATGCAGTTTCACTGTGGGACTTCTTACTCTCTATGTTTATAGCTTTTCTCTTTGGCTAATCAGTTTATTCAGAGAAGAGTCATTCAATCTCCTGCCTGGAGAGTTTAAGTCTAGTGGCCAATATTCTAGGAGCGTACAGAAAAGTGAGCGACCCAGTATGTAGGGTGTCTTCAGTACAGTCTCATACCCACCTCAGCTGTAGCTAGCATCCCTGGTACCCAATGCTTCCTAGTTTGGTCTCTGCAGGGAATCTGGCCGCTAGTCATCTTCTCAGGTAGAAAGGGGATGGGAGGGTGATCTAGGATTCTAGTTGCCTCTTATGATATACGTCAAACAATCTATTTTTAGTCCTACCTTCACCCCACTTTCAGAGTTACCTGGTACCTATAATTACAGAGCTTCTTTCCTTTGCATCATCCCCCTGGGTTGCCTCTTGAGGAGGCTGATGCAAAGAAACTGCTTAGATTTCAGCTGTCTCTAATCTGTGAAGTAAGCAACAAACTTTCTTCAGCATTCTAGCTTCCAAAATGTCGGTGCTACTCTTCCTGTCCTTGTGGGCTTATAACATTCTTCCTTTTTCTAACAAGATTTTGAAGAGAGCAAAAATAAACTATGAGTTTAATTGACCATGTGCAGCCAGAAATCTGAATGACTTTCTTTCATAGTCATTTTCTTCACCAGAAATATCATTGATTATCTCCTAGACTGCCTGAGGACTCAGAGTCCTCTTGAAAGAAACATTCTACTTCATACTCATTCATACCCTCTCATCTCTGCAGAATTACACAATTCCTGAAGAGACTTGCAGTTCTTCTCTCAATGGGATGTGTCACAATAAGAAATGTGTCAGAGATGAGACAAACAAATGTAGCCAGAGATGAGATAAGCAAATGTAGATGTTAAATCTCTATCAGTTTCCCATAAATGGTAACGGTGCTGGGAGAAAGTTTTCTAACAGCCTATACTTTTCTCAAGGCCTTACAGGTGACATTCTTTAAAACAGTAATCTACCCTGGCCTACAGAAGTGTATTATCTATTTTGTTGTTTTGTTACAACTCATAATCCCTAGATATCTCTCATTCAGGCCCATGGCTAGACCCCCGCTATCTACTGGTAGTGCCAAGACAATGTTGAAAAGATGACATCGAGTAAAAGAAACCAGAGAAAAGTTAGCATCCAGCTCTGTTCACTTAAAGAATATCAACTAATATTTGTATTAAATATTGTGTTCCCCGTGCTGTCCTTTACATGAATTTTTCCTCAATTAAACCTCAAGACCATCTCATAAAGTTGATTCTTATTATTATTCCTTCATTTTTAAGATGATGAAGCCTAGATGAGCAAAAGTTAAATAAATAGCTTAAAGCTTCAAGGTCAGGTAATTTGAGTCCAGAGCCTACAGTTTTCAACATCGCAGTGCACCCTATGCTTGGACGAGGAGAAGAAAGAGTAGAGTGGCCACAGCTACAGCCAGCCTGTACATGGTGATCGTGCCTCAGGGTTTATAAAATGCTGTCACACATGTTGTAGTATTTGAACTCATTTAACACCACAGGAAGCTAGCTAATGCCAAGAGTGAAGTACCCTACACCAGAGAGCTTGGCAGAAATAAAACAAAGCATGAAACCTCTGGGAGGCTGAAAGGAGTTGCTTAGGCATTGCTGTTCACTTCACTCCTGTCCTTGCATGAGCCTTAGCCCTGCTGTGTCTGTTACCAGCTCAGCGATTTCCACCATAGCACGCAGTCTTGGTCTGGGTTTGCGTGGAACATTGTTTCTGTTCCTGGAACAGTGGGCAGATCTTGCCAGGAGTGACGTCCTCAGGTAAGTTGGGCTGGGATCCTTGCTGGCTCTCCTTGCCATGCTTTGTTTCTGAAATTGTACAGTGGAGGGTAGCATTGGGATCCTTGATTCACAGATCCATAGGCAAAAAGAAAAATGAGAAAGACTAGGGCTCAGTGTCCTATGCTCAGACAGGGCTGTATCAGATCTATTCGGGCCCAGAGGTAGCTAACCTACCAGTCATAAATACTAGAGGAAAATCTTAACAAAATAACTCAGGTATAAAAGTGTAGATGTGTAAAATGTGGGTCACTTTTTTGGTTTTTTTTGTTTTTTGTTTTTTGGGTTTTTTTTTTTTGAGACATGGTCTTACTCTGTTACCCAGGCTGGAGTACAGTGGCACGATCACAGCTCACTGTAGCCTCTACCTCCTGGGCTCAGGTGATCCTCCCACCTCAGCCTCCCAAGTAGCTGGGGCCACAAGTGCATACCACTGTCCCTGGCTAATTTTTGTGTTTTTTGTACAGAGAGGGTTTCACCATATTGCCCAGGCTGGTCTTGAACTCCTGGGCTCAAGCGATGTGCCTACCTCAGCCTCCCATAGTGCTAGGATCAAGATTAAGGAGTGACTAGGTAGGTCCAAGCAGCTAGCCAACCTTGGGTTCTGCAGGTCCAGCTGTGATTTTATGCCACTGGTGCTGGCGGTTGTCTTCTCCTGGTTAAATATCAATAGGGGCAACTCTGGGTTCTATGGCTGTCTAAGGACCACAGCAAAGATTCAAGGAATCTCTGTGTGGTTGTCAGCCCAATTCAGGAAGATGAGGTCGGGGCGATTCTAAGAACATGGAAACCCCCCTTCCCCTTCTCCGCTTCTGGGGACAGGTTGCCTCTCATTACCCACTGGGCCTTTCCTTCCCTGCCCTTTTCTCCTCTCTCTTTCCTGTTCCCTTGAAGATAAAAGTTGGAGCCTGCTCCCATTTGTGTATGGGAGCTTGGCAAAAGATGGGAGCCAATAACCAAATGCCCACTTCATATTATCTCAGGTGCCTCATAGTGGAGTTTTACAGTACTTTGTTTTAGTTTTAAGCTTACCTGAGCTACTTCTATCAAGTCTTAAACAACTCTGCCATAAAGAAATCTTTGCCTTTTACCTAGCAGGTATCCTGTTTTACTTAAGACTGCATCATCTTATTAGTTCTCAGGGAAGGGAAGTATGATCTTTCTAGTGATTCTTTTATACATAATTGTGTAGTTACCTAACTGCTTCCTGTGTTGACCACATCCCTCAGCAAGCACACGGCAAACGCTTTGAGAATAAGGATGGTGTCTTACCCTTCTTAGCTTCACCCACAGCACCCAACCATATGATGAATATCTACTAGGTGCTAAGTAAATATTTGATAGAAGAAATGGGTGAATGAATTAGATGATTTATTAAATAAATAATCTAACTCAGATTGTTTATCTTTATAAATCTTTTTTATTGGCAACACTTTTATTTTTCCTTACACAATGGTGTGTTGCTGGGGCCTAATGTTCTCACATAATGGTAGAAAATCAAAATTTGTTATCATCTCTTTAAAGAATTGAGAATTCTGTACAAAAAAGAAAAAGAAAAAGAAAAAAAATTACATAAATTAAAAGGATGAATACATTTACAGGTATAAATGCAAACCGCTTCCAACTCAAAGCAAGTAACAGCCCACGGTATTCCAGTAGGAAAACATCAGCTAAGAAAGGAAACTGGGTCCTATGGCTTGGACTTTTCCAACCCTGACAGACCGGCAGGACAGAAACAACTGGTTCAGGAGCCCTTGCCAGCCTCTAGAGAAATCCCAGAACACTCAGCCCTGACACATTAATACCCTGCACAGATCAGAGACTGCTGGCCATGCAGACTTACCAAGCCACAGACTTGTCTTCCACAAGCACGTTCTTACCTCAGCCATGAAGTGACCAAGCCACATGTACTAAGGGTTGAAATCAAAGATATGTACAGGGTACTGGGTATTAACCAAATACCAAGGGCAACAGTTAACTGGAATACAAGGTTACAATCAGCAACAAGTTCTATGCTCCAGTGCTGATATCAGATACAAGCTTCAAGGACAATTTCTTTTCAAAGGCTTATTCCGGTATCGTGAGGACAGCATAAGGTGTATGCATTTTCCATGGACAAATTTATACTTCTGAATTAACCCATGCAGAAATGCTATGCATCTGCTTGCAGTCCATTTAGAAGCATTTGCGGTGGACGATGGAGGGACCCGACTCGTGGTACTCCTGCTTGCTAATTCACATCTGCAGGCAGGTGGACAGTGAGGCCAGGATGGAGCCAGAGATTCACACTGAGTACTTGCACTCTGGGGGCACGATATCTTGATCTTCATGGTGCTGGGTGCCAGGGCAGTGATCTCCTTCTGCATCCTGTTGGTGATGCCAGGGTACATGGTGGTGCCACCAGACAGCACTGTGTTGGCATACAAGTCTTTGGGATGTCCACCTCACTCTTCATGATGGAGTTGAAGGTACTTTCATGAATGCCACAGGATTCCATGCCCAGGAAGGAAGGCTGGAACAGTGCCTCGGACACCGGAACCGCTCATTTGCCGATAGTGATGACCTGGCTGTCAGGCAGCTCATAGCTCTTCTCCAGGGAGAAGGAGGATGCAGCAGTGGCCATCTCCTGCTCAAAGTCCGGAGCAACATAGCATAGCTTCTCCTTGATGTGGCGCACGATCTTTCGCTTGGCCATGGCGGTGAAGCTGTAGCTATGCTAGGTGGGGATCTTCATGAGGTAGTCAGTAAGGTCCTGGCCAGCCAGATCCAGATGCAAGATGGTGTGAGGGAGGGTGTAGCCCTTGTAGATGGGCACCGTGTGGGTGACCCCATCTCCAGAGTCCATGACAATGCCAGTGGTGCGCCCAGAGGCATAGAGCATCAGCACAGCCTGAATGGCTGCGTACATGGCCAGGGTGTTGAAGGTCTCAAACATGATCTGAGTCATCTTCTCCCTGTTGGCCTTGGGGTTTAGCAGGGCCTCGGTCAGTAGCACCAGCTGCTCCTCCAGGGCCACGCGCAGCTCGTTGTAGAAAATGTGGTGCCAGATCTTCTCCATGTCGTCCCAGTTTGTGACGATGCGGCGCTTGATGGGGTACTTCAGGGTCAGGATACTACACTTGCTCTGGGCCTCGTCGCCCACATAGGAGTCCTTCTGGCCCATGCCCACCATCATGCCCTGGTGCCAGGGGCACCTGACGATGGAGGGGAACATGGCTCAGAGGGCATTGTCCCAGCAAAGCCGCTTTTCACATGCTGGAGCCATTGTCAATGAAGAGCAAGGGATCTCTTCTTCCATCGCCACAGGCGGAGGAGCACGGAGCAGAGGGAGGACATGGCGCAGGGGCTGGCAGCGATGACTGAGCATCTTTATAAATCTTATCATAAAACTGAAAAATGCAACACTATATAAAAACTTTCTACTTCTTATGAAAAAAAAAATGCCTCCTTACCTGATCTTTTCTCACAGATTTCCTCAATCTCAGAGCATCAGAGAGAAGAAGAGGCCATCATTCATTCATTCAACAAACATTTATTGAGGGCCTACTATGTGCCTGTGCCAGGCACTGTAACAGGCCTTGGAAAGATAGGACAGCTCAGTGAAAAACACAGCCCAAGTCCTTGCCCTTACTGAGCTTACATTTTATAGGCATTTAGTGGTTAGAAAGTACTACAGACTGAATTGTATCCACCTCCAACCCCAAATTCATATGTTGAAGCCATAATCCCCAATGCGACTATATGCGGAGACAGGGCCTTTTTGTAGGTAATTAATGCCAAATGGGGTCATAAGGATGGGGCCTTAACCCAGTAGAACTGGTGTCCTTATAAGAAGAGGAAGAAGCCGGGCGCAGTGGCTCACGCCTGTAATCCCAGCACTTTGGGAGGCCGAAGCGGACAGACCATCCTGACTAACATGGTGAAACCCCGTCTCTACTAAAAATATAAAAAATTAGCCAGGCGTGGTGGCAGCCGCCTGTAGTCCCAGGTACTAGGTAGGCAGAGGCAGGAGAATACCATGAACCCAGGAGGCAGAGGTTGCAGTGAGTCGAGATCACGCCACTGTACTCCAGCCTGGACAACAGAGTGAGACTCCTTCTCAAAAAAAAAAAAAGAAGAAGAAGAAGAAAAAGAGATGCCAGAGACTGCTCTCTTTCCACATACACAGAGAGAAAAGGCCATGTGAGGAAACAGCTAGCAGGCAGCCTCTGGCAAGCCAGGAAGACAGGCCTCACTGGAGCCTCACCTTGAAGGCACCTTGATCTTGGACTTCTCACCTCCAGAACTACAAGAAAGTAAATTTTTGTCTAGCAAAATACTTAGACTGTGGTATTTTGTTATGAAAACCTGAGTAGATTAATGTAAAAAGTATCAATGGCTACTGTAAGATAGAAGAGGAGAAAGGAAAGAAAGGAAATTGCTCACAGAACAGGAACACTGAATGATTGTAATCACTATTTTGAATTTTTTTTAAGTTATTTTACAAGATCCTTTATTCTTTATGGATTCCAGTAGAGGAAAATCGACAACTTTCCATGATACTCCCCTTGATTCCCTGGTTTCCTCAGCACCATCTACAGCCTTTTGCTGCATGGTTATGTCTAATGTTTATCTGCCTCCCGAGGCTCATATAGCACTCCCATAGGATGTCTCGGCCTCGTTCAGACACCAGCTGCTGCTGCTCAGAGGCTGCTCTAAATATAACTGCATTCCTCTCAGGGTTTTCTCTTTTCTCCAGTGAATCAAACGCTTTGATTCTCAGTTCTGGTTTTAATTGACCAACCAGGTAATTTATTTCCAAATATAAACGATCTCCCTTCTGTATTTCAGAATTGTAAAAGACAGTCTGCTCTCCTTTGACTCTTGAATTAAGTAAGCATATACCCCAGCTAATGGCCACATGGGTCTATCCCCTGATCCCTCAACTAAACTCTGGGTGTTTGTATGTGTTATCTATTGCCATTTAATAAATTACCATAAGTGTAATAGTTTTAACAACACACATTTATTATCTCCACATCTGTGGGTCAGGAATCCAGCTGAGCTGGGTCCTCTACTTCAGGGTCTTTCACAAGGATACAATCATATTGGTGACCAGGGCTAGGGTCTCATCTGAAAGCTCAGCTGGGAAAGGATCCACTTCCAAGCTCACTCAGGTTGTTGGCAGAATTCTGTTCCTCAAAGGCTGATGGACTGAGGGCCTCAGTTCCTTGCTAGCTGTTGGCCAACAGCCACCCTAAGATCCTTGTCACACGAACCTCTTCTTGCTACATGGGGCTCTTGAACATGGCTATTTCCTTCACCAAAGCATGACAGCCAAGAAGACAAATAGAGAAAATCTGCTAATGAGACAGAGGTTACATGCTTGTAACATAATTATGGAAATGATAGCTCATCACCTTTGTTGTTATCCTCTTAATCAGAAGCAAGTCACAGGTCCACACCACTCAAGGGAGAGTAGGTTCATATGCAAGGAGGCAGGCATAATCGGGGATATCGGGAGGCAGGCATTATCGGGTCATCTCAGAAACTTCCTCCCACAGTACTGGTGAGCAGAAAATAAGCCACTTGTATCCATTACTCATCCCTACATCTCTTCTGCTTACTTTCTTATTTCTTAAGAAAAGAAAGCCTCAGGAAAGTGATACTGGTTTGGTTGTGATCATCAATCTCTTAGACATCATAGGTCAATTCTATGAAATTTCTCCGGCACTCCAGACACCTCTTACCATGAGCCACTTGAATGACAAATAGGTACCCTCTACTAAACCCACCTGACATGGGATGTACATAATGTCTGCCAAAAACTACCCTTCCTTTCTCAGGGAATGAGCCATACTATAGGAATTTCTCAAGCCAGAAACTAAGTTACCCTGACTCCTTCCTCTCCATCACTCTGCCTTTATGGAGCAAAATATTAAGCATGTATTTCAAAAAAAGTATAAATTATGTGGAAGGGAATCTATGAATGAGGGTAGCTATTTGGTAATGATGGAGATAGGGTAACACAACAAGGGAATTCCCATGTGATTTGGGTAAATTAATTGACATCTCTAAGATATAGTTTTCTCAACTAAGAATGGAGGGATAATAATAGTAGACATAAATCAAGGAATTGTTATGAGGATCACAGGAAATGATATCTGTGAAATGCTTGTATATCTTACATCCCACAAGCCCTCTATATATGTCAGCTACTATATCAGCTGTTAGAGAACCACATTATGGCTGTCATCGTTTGCTCACTAACTCAATAGTGTCTTCTCTCTTACATCCTCCACTTTAGAGACTAAGAAGCTAATTACTCATTTTCCCAGCCTCTCTTGTAGCTGGGGCTTCCCAGGGGACAGAGTTCTCGAAAAGCTTTTGTTTTTCTAATGAGAACATCTTTCTTTCTTGAACAAAGATTCAGTGTCTGCAGTGTCAGCAACCATCTGTGTCCATGAGGTAGCAAGCATTTAGTTGAACATGAGTACACTAAGGATGGTGGAGTGGAATCTCTGAGAATTCTGTCAAACAGCAGAACCAATCCAGCATCCAGCTACCTGCAGGCTCCTTGTTACCTAAGAACATGAAACCTCTCCAAGTTTAAGCTACTGTTGATCAGGAATTCTGTTATTTGCAGCTGAAAGCACTCCTAACAGATACATTTGTCAGTAGCCTAGAAGTCAAATATCTGAAATGTTAAGTCCATACATTTTGGCTATGATCATAACCTCTATTAACTCAAGGCTTGAAATCCTGTCTCTTTCCACACTGGATAACTTTTTATGTAGTGTAAATTCAGAAAAATTTTGTGGCCTCTCTAATGTTCTCTGTTTGTTCTTCTTGCTAGTTTACTACGTTTACCTAAAAACTGTATCCCTGACAGTGAAAGCAGCCCCACATATTCAAGGCTCCAATATTATGTCAAAGAAGTAGTAAGAAGAGAAAAGGTATCAATACTAAAAAGAGGCAGAACTTCAGAAAGAGACAACAAACAAAAGAGGAGGGAGGGAAATACAGAAATATAACCATATACAACATCAGCCCTTGGTGTTCAAAGTTTTACTTTGTAGTTTTATTTTTAGAGATGGGGTCTCATGCTGTTACTCAAGCTGGAGTGGAGTGGCGTGATCATAGCTTACTGCAGTGTTAAAGTCCTGGGCTCAAATGATTCTCCAAACTCCTAAGTAGCTGAAAGTATAGGCACAAGCCACTGCACTAACTAGTTTTTTTTTGTTGTTGTTTGTTGTTTGTTTGTTTTTAATTAATAGAGATGGGGTCTCACCATGTTGCTCAGGCTGATTTCAAACTCCTGATCTCAAAAAGTCTTCCATCTCAGTCTCCCAAAATGCTGGGATTATAGGTGTGAACCACTGTGCCCAGGCTAAAGTTCTTACAGTATTGATCTTAGATGTTCCCCTCAAGCATACATTTATTATGTGACTTTCTCCAACATTCTGTCTCTTCCTAAGAATTCTCAGGAGGGATATTTCAGGATCATAAAACACACACATATATATAGACTTCAGACAGGCAATATACAAAGTACGTAAGTGTCTATCTAATGTAAGTTAAGGGCCCAGTGAAAACTTACCTTCTGCAAAATATCTGGTCTATACTCCTGCCTGTAAATGCCAATACCTGGCTGAAAATGCTATCTTGAGACTTACTAATGTGCAGATGACACAGCAATGGACTGACTCTAGAACTGCAATGGCCACTAGCCACCTGTAGCTATTAGACACTTGAAATGTAGCCAGTGCTATATATTGAAGTTAAGGGCCCAGTATGTCAAATACATTAAATGAATAAGTCAGCAGAGCTTTAATAAACAATCAGATTAACATCCCAGTAGGAGAATTACAATCCCATAAGTAGTAGATTCAAATCCTTACTGGTGCCAAGTTGTGGGTCAGCAAAAGCATTTGCCTGTAGATTTTGGGGGGAACACACAGCCATTACATTGCTTGATGGTCTCTGTGTGGGTTCCTTTTAAAGTTATTCCTATTTGAGAGTAGCAAAAAGAGGCATTTTCCAGATGACAAGATTTTGTGTTTTAGAACACTCTGTAAGCCAAAGCCAAAACCTTCCACATTTTTTCAATTAATAAAGAAAAATGAAAGACATATACTTGAGTGTAGGACTACTAGTCAAATTAGAAAGATGTTTAACTCAAACAAATGCTCTAAGTATAGGGATCTCCTAGCAGGGCTTCTCCCTCTCTTTGTAGCAGAAGCTGAGCTATTCCAGAACCTTCACATCTTCAGCCAGCTTAGTTAGTATAAAAGGGAGGCAAATACACAAGCACTAAACTCTGAATGCAAAACAAAAGAATCCCCTTCTCCCTTAAATCAGCTGGTGAATAGCCAACAGGAAGATCCTCTAGATGACTATCTGTGTGTGA